ATAACTCCCATCTATCTCTGTCAGAGGAACAGTCCAGAGTGCCGCTGGAAGGAAGCAGGGCTGGCTCTGGGACTGCTCTTTGGGTTCCTTCCCTCTGGCTGCACCTCATGAGATGTGTCACATGCAGGAGATGTCACATGCACATCCCCATTGAGACCAGCAGAGGCTTCTTCTTTGCTGCAGGCAAGGCCTGTCCCCTCTCCCTTTCCCTTGGAAAACTCATATTTGGGTGTCCCAGACTGCACAGCAGCTGTGCAACAGCTCCTTAGGATGGTTTCCTGACTGAGCAGATGGAAAAGATAAAAGGATGATGCCAGGTTTCTGCAGGACACATCACCTACCCCAGGCAGCATTTCCAAATATCCCAGACGCCGGTGTTTCCCTTCCACTGAACACCCTTTAAAAGCCAGAAGGAACAGCTGCTTACACTGTAGGAAGGAGAAAATGATGAAGAAAGTGAGAGAAAAACAGTTCCTCTCATCAGTACTCACCTCACCCACCCTAAATGGGAACTCGATTCCTATCACATCAAAAAATTCCATCATGAACACRGAAATCAATTAAGGYAYRAATTAAAACCAGACYCACCTGAGTCAGCTCCTTGTGAGCACAGTTTACTCCTCCRATTGGGATGATGTTGGGCATCAAAGGCCTTGGATACTCTAGAACAAATTCTGACCTCAGAAGCCAAATGGAAGCCTGGCGTAAGAGATCCTGCACAGTCATGTCCTGCTGGAGGAACTCGGAAGCCAGTTTGGAGTAGGGTTCAAAGGCAAAATCACAGAGAAAGAGATCTGGGATGTCGTGGAGCAGGTTCTTCACCCTCTGGAGGAAGCTCATGTGGTCTGCAAGTTGTGTGAATCCCCTGGGGACATAGGAAGCGGGTCTGGGACACTGAGTGGCATCAAAGTCTAACCCACATGGAATTCCTCGTAGGAAATACACGGAAGGAAGGGAAAGATGCTTTGCCAGGATGGCCCCACAGAGTATAACAGGGTCTGTAATGATGGCATCGAACTTGCTTTCCTCGAGGTACCTGATGAGCTCTTTGTTCTGCAGGAGGTGTCCACAGCTGGACACCCCAAAGTTGGTGATTCTTTTAATACCTTGGTAYGCTTTAACAAACCTTTCCAGAAAAGATCCTTGTTCAAATGAAAAATGAAAAAATGCCTGGAATTCTTTCTTCAAATCTTCCTTTGTGTATGGGACCGGGTATGTTTTCATCAAAAAGCTCTTCGCCGGTTTGATGTGCATAGTGACTTCAGGTGCCACCACCACCACCTCATGTCCCCTCTGCGCGAGGATATCGAGCACTTCCCGCATGCTGAGCCAGTGGCTCCCGTCCACCGGCACCACCAGGAGCCTCCCAGCAGCTGCCAGACCCAGCAGAGACAGGAGCAGAACCACAGCTCGTGGGGAAACACAGAGCCCCAGGGCCATTCGTGCAGGGATCAGGTGAGTGCCACCACAGAAGTTCCCCAGCTTTGTGGTTTTTAGTGGTCTGGGCTCTGGTTTTTATGGAGGATCTTCGGACTGATTTGCTTTTTGGTGAATGTTTAAACATGGCCGTGGCAAAGATGGCAGAGAAGCTGTTAAAGTTCATCCAATTTGGCAGACCCTAATCAGGGCAGGAGCTCCCCTGGAATACTCCCCCCTCTTTGTATTGGAGGAGCACTGGGTGTGGAGAAACGCTGCCTGGTTATGTAGGGACAGGGTCAGGAAGTCCAAGGTGCAGCTGGAGCTGAACTTTGCAAGRGGTGAAAATAACAAGAAGGGCTATCACTGGTCTGTCAGACAGAACGGGGAGGTCAAAGGGAGTGTGGCCATCCTGGGAAACACTGGGAAACTGGGAMTAATGGACAAGGTGAGGGCTGAGGGACTCAAGAACATTCTTGTCTCAGTCTTCACTGGCTACCTCTCTTTCCACACCTCTTGAGTGGATGGATGACAAAATGGGTTGGGGGATCAAAATTCCACCCACTGTAAGAGAAGATGGYGTTGGCAACCTGAGGAACCCAAACATAGGGTTTGATGACCCAAACACATGGGAACCCGTGAGATGCATCCCAGAGTCCTGAGGGAATTTGTTGATGGAGCCGCTCCATGACACATGAAAAGTCCTGGCRAAGTCAGGTGAAGTCCCAGGTGACKGGGAAAAAGGAAATGTCACACCCATCTTGAAAAAGGATAGAAAGGAATCCCCTGGGAACTACCAACAGCCTGGCAGGATCATRGAACAGACCCTCCTAGAAGATATTCTATGACTTAAGGAAATGAGGAATCCTTCAACAAATGGTCTGCTCGAAAGAGCTAATTAACACAACATTAATTTTCACAGCAAGAACTTCCAGTGTAAGGTAATTCCTTCCCTCCTGCCAGCCCAGATMGTTTTCTATTTGCAAAAGTTTAGAAAAAATGTTAAAGCTTCACATGGGAAATGGTCTGGATTCTTCATCAATTTTATATTGTGACACTGTGAGGAAAATGGAAAATTGGCTTTCAAAGTTCATTTCCCTGCAAGGGCTCTTTTTGGAAGGATGAAGCAGGGGCTGCAAGCAGGAAGAACACAGGCAT